CATGGCAGGGGATGACGGGACCTTGTCTAGAATGGTTAGACTGGGAGGGTGTGATCTGTAGGAGGCCTCTGGCGAGCGGCTGACGACGGCTCCGCTCCCGCTCCCGTACATGTGTGGATAGTGCCGCTGCGCCCAGTAGTCCGCGCTTTGAGTAGGCAGCACAGCTCCGGAATATGCCAGAGCACTCTGGGCGAAACTCGTGTCCAAGAATGAAGGAGTGGATTGAACGTTGGACGCATGGCTCATGTGATGGACGACGCCGTGGGACACAACGCTATACGGCCTCTGCCGGTGTCTGCTGCCGCTGGGTGGTGCGTACGGAGCCACCGCCATCTGGATAGGGGAAAGCTTGGCTCGTTTTCCATCGGCACTCTTCAACACACCTTTGGAGGAAGTCTTGATGATCGCCAGCAAGCCTTGGGAGGGGTGCGAGTACGGGCCCAAGCCCTGGCCGGCGGTGTCCAAGCCGTTGACAGTCCTGCTGATTTGCTTGTGCTGCGGGACCCTGATGTTGGAGGGGAAGATCTTGATTGAAAGGGGGCTATCGGCAGTTCTTTGTGCATAGGAGTCCAGTTCGGCTGTGGATGGGTAGCGCGTAGAGATCACCTCACCTGCGGACAAAGAGAAAACGGCATGAATAATTCAACGCTGCATTATTAGACCATGTCTTGAACACTGGGGTGGGGGGGGCGGGGGTAAAGAAATTCTAGGTCTTTTAAAATGAGCACACATTCATTTGCATGCCTAATATGTCAATAATGCAAAACGTTTCATGTCTCTTAACTCTTTCCCCCCCAGCGTTTTTGGAAAAAGTCGCCAGCACTTTTGATCATTTTCACTAAAATTTCATGGCCCCCAGAATATTTTTTTGTATGAATATCTCAACATGCAATACATCAAAATAAAGATCAGAGCCTCTACTTTTAAACAAATAAATCCGTTTTATTCTAGCGTCAGGCATTCGTTTTTTTATCAACACTTGAATGTAGGTAAGTTTTATTTAAAAAAAAGCAACATTAAGCAAAAAGCTGAGAAAAATTACGCTTTTAATCAAAGACTACATCTGGATCATATTCAGTTCGATGATCAAAGCAAAGATGCAGTCGATCGCTTCCATCAACACCCCCAAAGCTTCACAGTCCTTTATCACATCTTGGATCGACATTTCACTCAGTAACATTAGGCAGTTTTCATTTATATGCTGTTTATTGTTGATGATCGCATTGTTTTCCATATGCATCTGCTTGCATATAAGATCGCTCGTTTCTCGTTTGAGACTGTGCTGTCTGACGAAGCGCCTCGTGCCGGAGGAGTTTCGCAATAAATATGGAAGAGTGATGAATACTGGATGAGTTAAAAATTATCAGACGTCACACAAGAAAAATCGTCCAATAAATATGAAGATATTGGAGCGTCTGCATCACTCTCCGTCTCTTTATTTCCTCGGCTGGCTGTTCATCCTCAGACATCTGCATCTCTCTAGAAACTCATTTTGTGGAGGGAGACACCTCGGGCAATGTTTGATCAGTGCATTATGAAATTAATTTGGTCTTTCTTCAGGACAAAATTGGATTACCTTGGGAAATCAAGGGGAGAGAAAAGAGACGAGGAGGGGGATGGGAAAGGAGCTAATTTTGTTTCAGTGGCTTGAGTGGAATTCATTTCATGGCGTTTGGATGTGCAATCCACTCTTAAGGGGCTCGGATACGGGTGGAGCGACATGTAAAATTAACATTAGAAACATTGCTATACAAGCAGCAAATTGGAAACACTGCTTTATATATGTTTGTGCATTTGTGTGCTGCTCGAATGCATCTCAAATGTATCTCTGGACTATAATGAGGGCAAGATTCCCATAGACGCCAGTGAGGCCACAATAAATGCAAGCCAATATCACTGGCAGCCAATTTTGAGATGTCTACAAATGCAATAGCTTTCAAATGAAAACAGGACCTACAGCCAACAGTGTACGGGCGACTAACTGAGATTGGATTTAAACACCATTATTCAGGCAATTTCATGGCTGTTTAGATTCCCGCAACACAAGGAAGCTGGGGAAAAAAGTGCTCCATTTCTGAGCAGTAAATCTACTGGCGGAAAATACGGCCAGAATGACACCTTTATGGAATTTCTGACATGAAAAGAAAAGTGCTGAAATTAAGGCCGATTATGCCACAGTCAATCAAACTCACTTCTCGAGGTGAATGATTGAAGGATCTCTACCAGAGATACACAAACACAACCCATTCGGTCCCAGCAGTCATTTGGAGCGTCTCCTCTGTCACGCGATGCCGAGCTCACGTTGTTCCCGTTCGGGATTGATTTGGGACTTCATTTCATTCCAGGCCCACAATGAGCCTCCAACTGTGAAAATGATTCAATCTACAAGATCTACCTCATAAAGGAAATAAATTGAGTGTTTAAAATGAAAGGAATAGTAGAGGTGGCGAGGCCCGCTGAGCCCACCGGGGTCACCAAACACTCACATGGACTGGGGAAATTTGACTTCGAGAAAAACAAAAATCAATCAAAAGAGATAGTGTTTGAAATTTAAGTGGCACTGCGTTCAAAGTGCTTGGGTTTCAGCATTTCGAGAGGATGGCCAATCGTCAACAAATACTATGAACCAGTTGGTCAAACCAACCATTAAGTATTACAGACCCATGAAATTACTTCCTGTGTTGACGTAGTATCAAAACAGGAAGTTCACTCTCAGAAAACGTGCAAAAATGGCACTTTTAGGAGTACAACAGCCTTCACATGGACATCTTTGTACCTTATTTGCACCAAAAAGGTGCATTTTAGAACCTTAAGGGTTCATATTATTACTCTTGAAAATAAAGGTTATTTATTGCCATTGATAGTTCCATGAAGAGCTTTTAACATGCATGGAACATTTCCAATGCACAAAAAAAGGTTATTTTAATACTTTTTAGAGTGTCTGATACTAATATGCACCTTTTATGGGTACATAGGGTACAAGATTGTCACATTGGTTTCTGACAGTGTTGGGTTGCACATCGAATGGTTTGCACTTTGTTTGCAAACAGCCAATAGGCTTTCGTTTTAGATGAATAGCAATAGTAAACCATGACTTGGAGAACATTTGGTTGAATAAATGAAAACGTACAGCCAGGAAATCTAAAGTATAGTAGATGTGAAAAGGGAGAAGCTAATCGTTGAACCAAAAACTGAAGTGAAAGTAAAATACAACGTCTGAGGTAATTAGCATCTTGACCTTCAGGAATTATCTATGGGCTTACATTTCTGCCATAATTCTGCGCGCGAAAGTTCATATTTTGAGCGCACAAAAGTGCATTTTGCACGCGCGCGATCTGAGTTTGTGGAGAAAATGTTCGTTTTGCAAAGGATTACTCCATGGATGTTAAAAGCTCTTCATGGAACCATCGATGCCAATAAAGAACCTTTACTTTTTAGAGTGTCTGATACTAATATGCACCTTTTATGGGTACATAGGGTACAAGATTGTCACATTGGTTTCTGACAGTGTTGGGTTGCACATTGAATGGTTTGCACTTTGTTTGCAAACAGCCAATAGGCTTTCGTTTTAGATGAATAGCAATAGTAAACCATGACTTGGAGAACATTTGGTTGAATAAATTAAAACGTACAGCCAGGAAATCTAAAGTATAGTAGATGTGAAAAGGGAGAAGCTAATCGTTGAACCAAAAACTGAAGTGAAAGTAAAATACAACGTCTGAGGTAATTAGCATCTTGACCTTCAGGAATTATCTATGGGCTTACATTTCTGCCATAATTCTGCGCGCGAAAGTTCATATTTTGAGCGCACAAAAGTGCATTTTGCACGCGCGCGATCTGAGTTTGTGGAGAAAATGTTCGTTTTGCAAAGGATAAAGTCTTTCGAGCGCACGGAAATCAATTTTGCATTTAAAATACGTTTTTGGATGTGTGCAGACCTTCTCTTTTGCGCGTGCAACGTTTCACTAGCTTGCTCACCTGATGCCCCCCTCTGTGCTCGCTAAATGCCAACAGCTCGCGTGCGCAACACAACCCAGCGTTACAATGTGCCATAATTCCAGCCAATCAGAGACCGAGGCTGCTAAATTCTGATTGGCTGCCTTGACAACCAATCACAACATTACCTAATTCACAAATCACATAATTGCATTACCTCGACAGCAGCAGAGGACAAATACAGTGCAAGCATAATTATTATGCAAGTTGATATTCTGATTATATTTTTTTCCGAGCACATTTTACCAATAATTATAACTACTATTAATCTTATATTTAATCACTTATAATCTATATATTATTGTTCATGACGGCTGGAAGTGAAAACGCCTTATATTCAGGTGTGCATAATTATTAAGCAGGTTATCTTCTACAGATAAAGTCTCCAGATGAACAAGAGGTACAAGAGGATGTGGTGCTGGTCCTTCTCAACTTATCTGTCTATAAAGCACACACATATATATATATAAATAAATCATTTTTCAAGCATTTTACTACACTTCAGTATGTGATTCTTATTAAGTAGGGGTCTTTTTTTAGGATTCTATATTTAACCCAAGTCTCTGAGAACCTGACACCTTGTACTTCTGGAGACTCCAGGTAGGTTGCAGTTCTGGAAAATGGTGGCGCTGGAGACTAAATGCTTCCTGGTGATTTCACACCTAATTCTTCACCTTAATTCATAATTCTTTTGCAGTTAACATGCATCTTTTCTTCTCCACATGTTTCTGACTGACCCTGCTGACCCACTGAGCATTTTGCTGTCCAATGGTTATGCATTCACTTTGCCATTTCTAGTATTGTATTAGTATTTCTAGTATTGTATTTGAATATTTCTCATGGGCATTTAATAATTTTTACTTTAAGTCCGAGTTAAATCTCTTTTTTGGCTCATTTTATCTGTAAAAGAAAATCTGCTTAATAATTATGCACACCTGAATATAAGACATTTTTCACTTCAGCCTTCATGAATAATTATATATCAATTATAAGTGATTAAATACAAGATTAATAGTAGTTATAATTATTGGTCAAATGTGCTTGGAAAAAAATATAATCAGAATATCAACTTGCATAATAATTATGCATGCACTGTATTTGTCCTCTGCTGCTGTCGAGGTAATGCAATTATGTGATTTGCTGGAATTATGGCACATTGTAACGCTGGGTTGTGTTGCGCACGCGAGCTGTTGGCATTTTGCGAGCACAGAGGGGGGCATCAGGTGAGCAAGCTAGTGAAACGTTGCACGCGCAAAAGAGAAGGTCTGCACACATCCAAAAACGTATTTTAAAATGCAAAATTGATTTCAGTGCGCTCAAAATACTTTTTTCTTTGCAAAACGAACATTTTCTCCACAAACTCAGATTGTGCGCGTGCAAAATGCACTTTTGTGCACTCAAAATATGAACTTTCGCGCGCAGAATTATGGCAGAAATGTAAGCCCATAATTATCCACCTAGTGCTCACTAACCTTTCAGCTATAAACACACAGCAATCAAGAAGCACAGTTAGCTCAATGTAAACGCCTGTCTGATGTTCGCATGTTCCTCAGCTGAAGCAGCTCGGTGAAAGTCAAGCCTTCGATCAAACTCACGCACCGCATTACATGAGGACGAGGGGCTCTGAAATCTCAATTAACACGCAGCTAATTAACTGAACACACGATCTGATACGGACTGAACTCTTAAAGTAGGCCAGAAACAAGAAGAAACCGCTGCAGATAAAGGGAAGCGTGGGGGGGGTTTAAACAGATGGACTCATTCGTTACTTCACACGGGCTGCTAAAGCGAGGAAGAGCCGAGAGGAACGAGATCTTTCAGCATGACCTCTGGACGCTCTCATCTCCTCACAAACACACAAACGCTCTCAGTCACTGTAAGCCGTCTAATCTGCGCCCCATGGTCACGGTTAACGCAGGTCTGCCGGATCAGAGAGCAGATCTCAGGCTTTTCTAGCTGCTTGTGTTAATCGGTGATTAACGGAGGAACAAACGCCCGCGGCTGGGACTCGGGTGACATACACTGCACAAATCTTCCACACTTGCCCAGAAAATGCACCTGGTGATCGAGCTGAAACACTAGCACTAGGGATGTAACGATTAACCGCGAGCCGGTTGAAAATCGATTCAAATGTGACGATACAAATCAGTTGAGATGCTAAACAAATCGCGATTCAGTTAGGGGCAGGAGTTTATATGAATGCATGTCTGAGGGGAACTTACTGTCTTTAGGAAAGTTTAGATGGTATTTTTTCTTTTCATCTTGCCTCTGTATAACACATATTAAAGTTTATAAGCGCAGCGCTGCTTTGTTTACAGCCTGCTGGCAGAGAGTGCATCTGCGTCTCGTTCAGCTCGTCTGCTGTTTCTGTTTCATGCAGATATATTTATGTATAGTTTCACAAAACTGAAGTCAAACCATTTCTGTTTTTGCTTCAAATTTCGAAACTATAGAATATAATTTAGTTTACTACTGCTCGTGTTGCATGCATGCAGCATCTTTGTTTGGATCGTGATTAAAATGCAGTGGTTGCCTCTAATTTTAAATGGAAAGAGCACAGACAAAGCCTTATTTTGTTTATATGAAGACATTTATTTTTTTTGTGTTACTTATTTATTTGATTTGGGACTTGTTTTAAAATTTCAATGTAGTTTTGTTATTTACATTATATTTACATTTTGTAATTTAGCAGACGCTTTTGTCCAAAGCGATTTACAACTGAGGACAATAGAAGCAATCAAAACCAACAAAAGAGCAATATTAGTATATTATTATATTTCAATTTCACAAAGAAACGTGAAACATTTTGCCAAGCAAAACCTGCTGGCAGAGAGTGCATCTGCGTCTCGTTCAGCTCGTCTGCTGTTTCTGTTTCATGCAGATATATTTATGTATAGTTTCACAAAACTGAAGTCAAACCATTTCTGTTTTTGCTTCAAATTTCGAAACTATAGAATATAATTTAGTTTACTACTGCTCGTGTTGCATGCATGCAGCATCTTTGTTTGGATCGTGATTAAAATGCAGTGGTTGCCTCTAATTTTAAATGTTAAGAGCACAGACAAAACCTTAGTTTGTTTATATGAAGATTTATTTTATTTGTGTTACGCATTTATTTGATTTGGGGTTTGTTTTAAAATTTCAATTTAGTTTTGTCATTTACATCATATTTAAATTTTGTCATTTAGCACACGCTTTTATCCAAAGCGACTAACAAATGAAGACAATAGAAGCAATCAAAACCAACAAAAGAGCAATATTAGTATATTATTATATTTCAATTTCACAAAGAAACGTGAAACATTTTGCCAAGCAAAAATAAAAGGACAAATTTAATTTATAATTTGACTTAAATCTCATTTTGTTAAAAAAAAGCGCGGATCGAATTGAATCGTGAGTTGAGTGAATCGTTACATCCCTAACTAGAATAACACAACAGTTAAAGCATAAAAGCATTCAATTTAGTTTTGTCATTTACATCATATTTAAATTTTGTCATTTAGCACACGCTTTTATCCAAAGCGACTAACAAATGAAGACAATAGAAGCAATCAAAACCAACAAAAGAGCAATATTAGTATATTATTATATTTCAATTTCACAAAGAAACGTGAAACATTTTGCCAAGCAAAAATAAAAGGACAAATTTAATTTATAATTTGACTTAAATCTCATTTTGTTAAAAAAAAGCGCGGATCGAATTGAATCGTGAGTTGAGTGAATCGTTACATCCCTAACTAGAACAACACAACAGTTCACATAAAGCATCTCACGTCAGGCCAGAAAAGCCAGAGCAGCAGCCTCCAAACGCACGGATGTGTGCTGAATCTACAGGACGCACGTCAAACACTCAAGCTCGTGCGATTAAAAGATTAAAAACTGCATTGCACGCTTAGAATAAAGAAAACATTATCGTTTGTTTCTGTTGATGCAAGTATACTTATCGTTTTTGTTATATTTACTTATTATCGGTTATTATCGGTACAGTTATCGTTATGGTTTCATTTATAGTTATGGTTGAATTCATAGTTATTGTTATACTTATACTTATTAAAATAATGTCTATCTACAAACATTTGAGTTTGACAAGAAATTCAGTGAAAACCTACGACCTAGTGAGTCATTAGAGTGATTCAAACTCATAACGAGAGTTTGACCTTTTCATAAAACAGCTCAAAAGACTTTAATTCAGGACATAATGCAGAACCGGACATAAAAGACCGGCTTCTGCTGGGCTTTAAAGCGTCTGCATCAAACACGAATAAAACATGACCCGAGCTTTGGCTCAACGCGGCTTGAACAGTAGTGTTTTCAGTGTAAAACTGTTCAACAAAAGCACATTTATCAATGAATAAAGAGAACAAAATTAAAGAGACAGATGAGTCTAATGAACCCTAAGCTCATTAATAAATAAATAAATGTAAAGCAGACAATAAATGCTTAAATGCCTAAATAAATGTATAATGCTAAAAAGAAATAAACGCATAAATCTGGATACATACATTTTCAAAGCTTAGATAGTAAAACAAAATAAATAAACATAAGCAAATAATACAAATGAAAAAATTAAATGCCTCAAATATATAAATAAGCAAATACACAGTAATCTACATCTACATATCATTAACCATTAACAAACATATTCCTTTAACATTTTGACATTTCAGCCGTTTGAGTGTAAAAAGTGAAACTGCATTAAATTTAGATTATAAAGTCACACCAGATTTGAAAAACAGCCAACATCTCCTTTATTAATTGCCTTCTAAAGATTTCTTTAAAAAAAAAAAAGTCCCATTCCCCAAGTTATACATATACACTGATACGGATCACGTTTACGGACTATAAATATAAATGTAAATATTTGCATGAATATCTCCACACATTTCTGAGTCTGGATCTGCCCTTGGACGGAAGCGACATGCACCTGCGTCACGGCTGATCAATGCGCTCGCAGATTCAATTAACCCGCTGCGATGGATTCGATGAGGGCCGTACGGAGCTCCTGCAGATCTGTGCAGATGACACGAACCCTGAAACTCAAGGTGAACGTCTTATCTGACGTCTGAACGCTGACAGGCGAGCACAGCCGAGAGTTTCCAGCAGCTCTTCACCAGCAAACAGACGCAGGAAAGTAGGCCAGAGAGTTTAAGAAGAGCCCAATAAAACGTATCCACCTCTCTCGCTCTCCTAAAGGATGAAAATCCATCTGCTGGACGGAGATCTATGAGCCGCTCGATGAGGTTAAGCCATGAAAATCAAAGGTTAGCCTGAAAATTCAATTTATCAGGCCCTTCTTTCTTCCACCTCCAATGAAGCGCTTTAATCTCACTCGCTTTCTGCCCTTTTACGCATTTGGTTTTCTTTCAAGTTAATTTCCTTTTTCCTTTTATATCTTACTTTCCCCATCTCTCGCTCTGCCTCGTGTGCTCTTCTTCTTTCTCATCATTAAACTGTGCCACATCTGAAACTCTCAGACGAAAATAAAAATAATAATTGTGTTGAGAAATGGCTTATTTTTAAATAAGTCAGTAAGTAAATAAACTAAAAAAATAAATAAATAAAAAGTACATTAAAAAAACAATACAAACAATAAATAAGTAAATAAAAAATTAATAAATAAAAATACGTAAATAAGTTTTAAGACGGGGCTTATTTATTTATACAATATTTAATATATAAATATAAAATATAAAATATAAATAAACATTTTAAAACTTAATATTAAAATAAAATAAGTTAACAAAATAAATAAATAAATAAAAAACTGTATATATAACAGTTTATATATTTATATAAAGTTATATAAATAATATAATATTTAATATAAAAAATACAAAATAAAATAAGAATTATTAACTAACATTAAAATAAAAATGGTAAAAAAAAAATAAAAAAAAGATCAAAAGACAGGACTTAATTTTAAATAAATAAATGTATAAATAAAATATAAAAGTAAATAAGTCAATAAATAAATAAATAATAAGCACAGAAATAATAAGTAAATAAAAATAAATACTAAATAAACAACTAAAAAAAACTAATAAATAAATTGAATAGTTAGGGTGGTGCTTAACCAAAACTCAACCACCTCAAAGCGACATCTAACCGGCTGTGCCAGACTTACTCCTGCGATTGAGCGGCGCGTCCAGGCTCTTCGCGGCACACGTCAGGTGTTGGTGTTGGTGTTGGGCCGGTTGGTTCTGTCTCTGCAGACACGCCAGCATGGTGCAGTTTGAGCTCTACGGGTCGCTGAAGCCTTCAGGGATCTGCAACAAGAAACAAACCCGTTCAGAGGAGCTCATCAGACGCTGAATCACAGGCGGAGGCCTTTCTGAACCGGACGCAACGGCAGCGTTAATCAATCTCACCGCCAATCTCTTCTGCGCTCAGAATGAATAAAAACCATCAGGGCAGATGAGAAATAAACACTCTCAAACACGCCCGACAAACATGTGACTGCCCGACAAATTCTTAAAATAAAATACTTTTATTTATCAAGGATGCATTAAATCAATCAAAAGTGACAGAAAAGACTTTTCAGCTTCTTTAAATTCAACAAGCATCAGCTGTATGCAACGTGACCCACATTTGGTTTTCGACCATTGAAAATGGGCACAATTTGCACATTGGGATCCTCATATCTCTGGGACTGAATGATTAAAGAGCCTTAAAATTAAGATGATAAAAGAAAAGTTAGCTAAGAACCAGAATATAAATTTATATTAAGATATCTTTAACACTTCTAAAGTTACAGGCATGCAAACTTTGGAAAAAGATTATTTTTGCCACTCAAGATAGGTATGGTCTATTAAATGGTTTTGATAAAAGGAAACAAGACACATTTCTAGTTTCAACATTATTTGCTCTTCAGACAATCCCCTTTAAATACAATAAGCATCAACTACATACAAAGTGACCCACACTTGGTTTTTGAGCAATGAAAGTGTGCGCAAATTTAACAATTTACTCCTGAAGCCACATTGAGATCCCAGTATCTCTGGAACTGAACCATTCAGGGCCTTAAAACTAAAGATACCAAAAGAAAAGTTTGTTAAGAACCAGAATCTAAAAAGATATTGAGATATCTTTAATACTTCTCGAGTTACAGTCATGCAAACTTTGGGGGAAAACACACAAAAAGTGCTTTTATCACATTTTTGAACGGTCACCATTGGCATATAATGCAACAAAGATTGCTGAAGTCAACAGATTTTACTAATAGAGCTACCAATCTCTGTGGAAAAATAACATAATGATGCTGCGATCCTTCTCAAGTCGTTTTGACCCTCCTGTAATTTGGCTCCAAATCTCCGGTGAAAAATGTCATTTTGAGCCCCCTCTACAAAACAGTGCATATCAATCCATGACATTTAATATTTGGGCTTTCATCACTATTTATTTTTTGTCTTCCTTCATTAAAAATCTTACCAAAGTCAACAATTTGAGCCGGGGAAGTTTCTGAAATTTGGTAGATTTGACACAGAATGACCCAGCAGTCATTAATGTGATTGGACGAGACGGATACATTGTGAATGTTGCCAAAGCAACAAGGCCTGAAGTGTTATTGCTTTTGTCACATAATAACAACATTAAAGGATACATCATTATTTTATGAATGTTATAATAAATGGAGCACTGGACTGACCAATCAGAAGACAGGAACACAGCTGAAATATGTGAAATCTCTCTGTTTCTGCACCATGAGATTAAGAAAACACACATGCAAAAAGAGGTTTTCACTGAACAATGATATTTTTGTCTGTTCCGTCAAGTGACTTCAAAATATTTGGAATAAGGTGCCAAAGTCATAATTAATACTATAAAATCTATTTATATTTTCCCCAACTTTTGTGCTTTCCATTTACATTTTTCTGGATCACGTTTTAATGGGTTAAATCAATTTTAATCAAATCACATGTCTAATCAGTTGAGTTCATAAAACTTTTAATCAATAATCTTTAAAATGTAAAACATAAAAATACAACAGAACATCATGATTTGTGTTTTTAATTTTATTATCTAATAAAGAGCTGCACAACAGTGTTTTAATATTAATAGTACAATATTTATTATAAATAGTATTATATTTAAGTCATAATTTCATCAAGTTAAACCACACTTTTATTTTTGTGGTTTGCAATGAAGACATTCGAGCTTCTGTATTTGATCTTAAAATTAATTACATTCTTTCATGATGCATTAAGCTGATCAAAAGTGACAGTAAAGACATTTATAATGTTACAAAATATTTCTATTTCAAATAAATGCTGTTCTTTTGAACTTTCTGTTCATCTGTGGATCCTGAAAAATAAAATGCATCACAGTTTCCACAAAAATATTGTGCAGCACGACTGTTTTCAACATTGATAATAATCAGAAATGTTTCTTGAGCAGCAGATCAGCATATTATACTGATTTCTGAAGATCATGTGACACTGAAGACTGGAGGAATGATGCTGAAAATACAGCTGCACATCACAGAAATACAGTACAGTTTAACAGAT